TAGTTTAATTCAATATCAGGGTATCCCAGCCGTCCTTCTCAGATCACTCTCATTGCTCGAATTCTTGTAGAGTAGCTTCCAACAATACCAATGAGAGAGACATTGATGCCTTGGCCTATCAAGATATTCTAAGCGATATTTAGGGATGCATAGCTAAAAGCGGATAGGGCAGAGATTTTGATTTCACCCTACTCAGGGCTTGGATGTCTTGAACCGGCATGCCTCCAGGCTTAGGGCTACTCAATCTCTACTGACCACTGGTGCTTGTGCGGTAGCATGCAGATAGAGCAAGGGGGTCTCGGGGTGAAGAATTATGACCGGGGGTCGATATTATATGGCGACAGAGGGGCGACGACCCACCCACCCAGCCGTGTGAACTTATCCCATATCGGGAATAATTAAATATGGACCCATATACATCAACACGCTTGTTCGCCCTTCTGCTCTCGCCCTCACCGGCCGTGTTTCTGCCGTGTGCCGTCCTCAGGCTTGCATGACTCGCAAACCCATGCCTTTCTTGGACGATCAAGGTCGACGCAGCTAAGATGGAACTGGGATACTCATTGAGTTTGTATCCCCATCTGATCATAGAAGCACTCACCCATCGCGATTCGCAGCCTCGTCGCGCACATTCCACGACGTCTGGTTCGTTCCCTTGAAGTTTCTCCCTGCAATGGCACTCACCCATACCAGATATCCGTTCGGCCTGACGCTTCAAGATACGACCAGAACAGCGGGAGCTCATCGCCGGTATCAATATGTCTTCTTGCCGACTCCCTGCGAGATCATGTCCTGGCCCTGCATCGGCTGGTGTCGACTCGTGGGATCCTGTGTCCGATATCAGGTATGCTACTTTGGACCCATATCATGCCATTCACCTGATACTTCAACAGTGCATTCCGATGCATCGGACGGGAATGTAGTGACGCTCGGATGCTCATTCAAAACCAATGTGTCCTTGGATGGTAAGCCTTGTTCTTCCTCGCTCTCTACTGCAGTATTAACCTCTGTGTGTCATAGGTATGCAATACGTACCATCTGGCGTCCTCAAGCGATCCTCTTCTCCGCTATCAGCCCAGTCTTGTACATCCCCAGTACTTGAGTCGTTGTCGCTGTACGAGCGATCTGCATGCAGGCTCGTCTCAGTGGCGGATTTGTCGTCATCTGGCCCTGGCCTTTAGGAAGGATCAGTGGATGTAGGGTACACATTCAATGAAGTAATGCATGCCCGAGTGAATGATTTGATGTGTGCGCCTGTGATATGATGAGGAGGGGCTTGACCTTCTTGTTTGTTCATTGTACGCGATGCTTCTTGCGAGCGGCCCAGTGCGCCTGCATATCCTGTCGCTCCACCTGACTGATATCGAAGACCACCTTGAAGTCAGAATAGGGCACAGATGGGTGGGCATGCTCAAAATGCGCCCGTGCATTGTATTTCCAAATCGCAGGAGCAGTGGGATTGGTGTCCTTGCATACGGGGCAGTGCATTGGTACATTGCTGCATGGTGATGACTGCGAAGACGTCGATGCGGCCTTGTACTTGAATTTGACGATGTTACGGCAGGTGCTACAATCGTCATCTATGCTCAACGCACCCACGGATCTGCGACCTTTGTGGAGGTAGACTTGGCAGACAGTATACGGCTGGAAGCATAGCCCACAGGTCTCGAGGGAACGGTCCTTGAACCTGCTATCGCAGAGAATGTGGCTTCCAACGTGCTCGAGTACCTGTGCACCATGTTTGGGATCAAAATGGAACTGTGGACAGTATGGGCAAGTGCCATTCGCCTCTTCAACAGTATCATGTCGTCCATATGCTAAGAAGCATGCTTTCCCTATTGGGTAGGTAAGTTCCCGCCTACGGTGACAGCAAAGCAAGCTGATGTACCTGTATGCTCTCGATAGGGAAACCCATCTTGGACAGATATCGTAGAGATATGGCGTCCATGCGACGGATGAACTTGCTCGTATAGAGTTGCAGCAAGCGAGATCAATGTCTCATCATCGAGAACGTAGAAGGCATTCCCCGGGGAGTGTGTCGATATCTCGGGGTCGATTGGAAGAATCAAAGCGCCAGGGAGAGCTGTGCCATAGATAGAAAGCAGAGAAGTAGCACGCCAGCTGTACTTGAGTGATGGATCATCATCTGCGGTGATAGGTACAAGACCAAGAGCCTGATATGAGATGCGGACGGACTTCTCTGGGAGGAGAGACAGTGGAACGTGGTCCACAGATTTGGAGTTAATCTGGATCTGGTTGACCTCGCCGAGGACTAGAAAGAGGCGGCCGTCATCTGCAACACAAAGCAACGAGACAACCAGATTCGATATAGCCAGTGCGGGACCAGCAGCCGCGGCCTCCGGCGAGGAGTCGTTGCGTAGTTTGCCATAGCGTAATTTGCCTTGAACGCAATCCAGATGCTCGCACGATAGGCCTATCTTGAACATCTTGAAGTGCTGTGCAAGTGCGCGAGACTTATTCATAGTCTTCCCTTGATACAGCACTGTCTTCAGAAAGACTCCACAAGCATCTGCTGCCGCGTCCTCGAGCTCGCAGAAGCCCTCGCCTCTCGTGGCCATTGAAACTTCACCATCCATGTCTTCATTAACCGGCCCTTCCTCGGCGTCATCGAGTTCACTGTCTTCGGGCACAGATGGCACATTGACTAGGATCTCGCCAAAAGTGCGAGGATCGAAGCGCCAGGAGTTTTGTCTATACCCTGCAAGACGTCCTTGATCTTCGGATATTTGCACTCCACTGTGTCCCGACCGCGGCGCCATGCTGTCAGAAGAGTGACTGTTTCGACGTGCACCTCGCCACACCAATCGCGCAGTGTGATCTTATCGGCACCATTGACTGCCTGCATGTCCCGGTTGATGGCAGGTGCATGAGCCCGTCGCGGCTCACGATAGTACTCTGGATAGCAGGCAAGAATGTTTGCCACATCTGTTGCACCAGTGGCACGGAGAGCGAGCTGCAGGACATCCACATTCACGTCGTTACTGACCATGGTCCACACAATGCCGAATAAGGTCTCGAGGCGATCTGTTCCTAACAGAATCAAGTAGAAGGGCGCAGTTGGCATATCGACCTTAGCCTTGGCCACACAGAAGTACGTGTTCTTCACCATCAGCATGATGTCTATCACAAGTGGGTGCGGAAAGAAGTGGCTCTTGGCATTCTCATGCACATAGAGAGCCAATACAAGGTGCGCAGCGCTGCTGAGATGCTCCAGTTGCTCCGAGAGAGAAAGGTCAATGCAGATGAAGGGCATCACAAGATGGAGGCACACATCTCCGAGCAGGTGAAGGGCTTCGCGGACCTCTTTGTATGTAGAGCCTCTCTTGGGCGGGGCAGGCGGAAGAGACCACAAATCATGCTCAAGACCATATGCGCGCTCTACATCCTGCTTATCGGCTGGATTGAGAGCCGAACGAACATGTGTGAGAGTGTGTCCAGCATCCAGAAGGTGATGATGGATGATGGATGATGGATGGCGTGGCTACAACACCCAAGAGGCGAATGCCAATCTTGCGACAGCAAGTATTGCGGACCCACTTGAAGCAGACGTGCTTTGGGTCCTTATTGATAGTGATGTCATCGGGCCCCACATGAAAGTCCATAAGCTTCAGCAAGGAGAGAAGCTCGAAAAGTGGCGAAGAGTGCGCGAGGAGACCCTTGAAAGTCATAAGTACGAGAGCGGCTCCCCACCGAGCTTCACCGTCCGTGTCAATCGAGATGAATCTCACGCGCTGAAGTGCAGGTCGCAATTTGACTGCCAACAACGTCGTCTCCAGAACCGCTTAATGCTCTTCAGCTGTCTTACGATGACAGCTTCCTGAGAGAAGAATAGAACACGCACTGTACAGCTTCGGCTCGCTGGTGAGAAGCCCGATGGCACCCACGGTCGCCTTAAAGTTCATCAACACGAGACCAACACGCGCGGAAGATGGGCGCACCTTGCTCGCAAAGTGCACTCTTTCCTCAACCACGTCCTCGAATAGTAAGTGCAGGTCATCCTCATTCAAGAACTCTCTACCCCCTCCTTCAACATGCTCACGACAGAGCCCCAGGAATTGATTTGTTTTGTCTCCGTACCGAAGCCGAAGCTCCAGCGCAATCTCGTCGAACATCAAGATAGCGTGGATAACCGAGAACGTGAGTAGCTCTTTGAGGATCGCAGCGATGGGTTCAAAGCACGCGTCAATGTTTTGTCCAAGCTCGGCCAGTGTTGGTGCAGCAGGAGAGGGCTCCAGTGTAATGAGCAGTTGGCAATTGCACACCGCTTGTAGCGAGAGCGTGCCTTGCATACGATGGGCCAAATGGATACCTTGTGCCCCGCACGTTCAGAAGATCAGCACCGCCTCTGCTTCTTCACGCTCGTCGTGCCCGCGAGGGTGATACACATCATTTGCGGCATCTTTGAGCATTTTGAGCATGGTGTGAATGCTCGCATCGCGTTGTTGTGCTGCTCTCAACACGGCATCGACTCGCTTGATACGTTTTGATGAAAGGGCGAGCACGAGCTGTTTGTGCGCGCTCAGGGTACCCTCTATGCTTATGACACGGCGAGCTTGATTCAGCCCGTAAAGGCGCATACGGTCGATGGTGTCTTGTTTACGTCGCAGAGCTTCTGTCAGACCTCCGAACCCATGGTAATAAAACCTGGTATTTTTGTGTACACTCTGCTCTGCACGCTGCATGATACCATCCAATTTGGCCTCCGAGTGGAGAGATTCGCACTGAGAACAGGGTCCCGGAGAGCCTGAAGTCCGCAAACAGCTGTGCGATCGTAGCCAAAGCGCACCATTTCGGTACTCATAGTTCCAGGGAAGAAGCAGCACCTCGTGCAGCATGAATGGGTAGACGATCGATGCAGATTGTCCATCCGGTGGAACAAACTGAATCCCTGCACAAGGGTACTCGGGCATAGTGCACTTACAGGATCCATGCGAGATGTGCGGCGAGGTCGGTTGGGGCGAAAGGGGTGGGAGAGGCATGTTTCTATCGGGTGAAAGGTCGCGCAACTGGGTTTCGGGCGAAGACACGACACTATTTGGCAAGGTAAGTCTAGTTCAAAAAGCATAGGACATGAGAGACTGACGAAGACGCCGGAAGATCTTCAGTATCTTTGTCAATGAAGTATCTTAAATGTGTTCCAGCAGGCCAGGGTGCATGACCGTCTCTATTCACAAAGGTAAGTAGTGCGTCTCAAGATTGCCTTGTAACTTACAATGCTACGACAATGCCTTCTAGACCAACAGCATACGGGAAGAATACATCATCGTCAAACCACTCGAGATGCTCAATGAAGCACTCGAGTAGGTTGAGTACTCCCTGCAACCCGTTCTCGCCATGCCGGATGTAAGGCATCACCTCTTCGATGGTCCACGAACGATCGTTCTCATCATCCCATAGAAGTGTCATGAACTTGTTATATGCTTCCTCTGCGACGATACCACCCATCTCTGACCAATCACGGCGGCGAAACTCGGCCCCTTCTGTGATGTAACGATGGTTGGCAAGCTCCCACGTCAAGTCGCCCTCGCGAGCCTCTGGAACTTCCTCGGGCAATGTCTCTGCGCTGAGCTCGAGCATCTCAAGCATAACCCAGGTGCGGCGCTTGCTGATCGGCACATTTGGGCTACATGCGCAAGGGTTGCGCACCAGACTCCATTGATAGCGAACCTTCTAAAGTTGCTTCGATATTGCAGGTCTTGATATGGGTGCAACGTCGTTGGAATCAGATTGTGGGCTCGAGTGCCGGCGTTTGGCGACATATGGGGGTTTGACAGGTGGTGGATGTGATGGTGGATGCGATGGATGAAGAGCTGCCAGGGTTGGAGATCGAGATCTCGTTGGAATAGGGGTCGGTGCGGCTGCTGGCTCTTTCGTGAAGACAGAGAGCAGGGAAGTCGAGGAGCCAGCCTTCGATTTTGCAACGGACTTCCTCTATTTTGTAGTGCAACCCTTACTCCCAACATGTTCTGAGTTGAAACTCTTCAGACCACAATCGTCAATGCCCTTACGTTCGCCACAGCGCGGGCAAGCGACTTTACAATCAGGGCTGGCAGCAAGCTCGACCTCAAGCTTTGCGAGCTCGTCCCTCGAGAGTTTCTGTAGCTTGCTTGAGCAAGGTGTTGTCAAAGGAAGAGAAGCCTCTTACAGGGGCTGTTGTGGACATTGAAACCGGTGCGAATTGGGTGCGAAGATCAGTGTAAAGATGTTGAAAAGACCGAGCCCGCGCGTTGCGAGCCACGTGCTATGCATCCACATAGGAGTGTTGCATGGCTCATGCACCAAATCGTAGGCTATTTCCTGCCTTCGTGAAGCCCCCACAGCTCTCTTACTTCATTATATAGCTACTCCAAGTACTCTATACATCTTCTAGCAGCCTAGGGTACACTTTATTTATAAATCAAGATTGTTCTCCTTCCCGCCGGAGTGCACCCACCCACCCAGACCCCCGGTCAGGCACTGCGATCCCGAGACTCCCTTGAGATAGAGTATGCCATTTGCTACACTTCTCTCTGCTCTAGCTATTACCCATCTAAAGAGCATGTTAAGATCATATATGGCAAGCACATTCTGTGTGAGATTGCCTTTACAATCCCTTCAGCACCTATATGTATTACTTGCAAAGTGACAGCCATGCCCTCAAGAGCACTATAGTAATCTGTTTACCATGATTGATTTCAGCCATATGGTTCTGTTGATAAGCTGCTATTATATGAGCCTATAGCTAAGTTGGATAACATGTTCACTTTCAGCTTTGTACAAGGTTGTGGGTTCAATCCTTCTACATGCCAAATTTTGATTTACTTTCTTTGAGGAATTTGAATGTATTATAAGATAGAGATTATTTTCACAGATCATGATACTATAGCAGTACACTTTTGTAGTCTGAACCTACATTATAGAAGGTAAATTGATGATACTGGCATAATTTTCCCACGGTGTGTTATACATATATGAGTATAGTTGGCCACATAGCTAAAGAGTCACTGAAATGACTTTTTGAACAAACATAATTTTGGCAACTGTGTAAAACTCCCACGGTATAGTGATTTTCTGGTTTAGTTTCTAGCTAGATAAAATCCACATATATCTCAAACATTGTACTACTCTGGAAAAAATGATGACCAATGGCTTATTTTCCCACGGTGTATAGTAGCTATTATATCTGAGCAGAACTTTGATCA